ACCCGGCTGGTTCCCCCGAAGTCGCCCCAGCCCAGCCCCGCGCCAGCGAACCACGTTAGGTATTTGTGCGCACGGAGGAGCTCTTGCTGTGCAGCCGGCCGTGACTCAGTCTTTAAAGTTTAAATGACACTTGCTCCCCGTTCTTTTCCAGAGCGAGCGTTTCGGTGCAGAGAAACTGCCCACCCCCAAGAAGCAGAGCAGTCAGAATCGGGGCTGGGGTCCTGTGTCAGAATAGGGTTTGAATGTCTCTAATCACCAAAAGAGAGGGCAATGCGCGGGACACAGACTGTTAAAACTGAAGGCACAGGCTGAAGTCATTTACCAACAAAGGAGAGAGAGGCCCGAGGAGGGGAGCGCGCTGGGTTGCTAAGAGGAAAGGTTTTCTTCGCCAACCTAATAAGAACACAAGCCTACGTGGGAAAACGAAGATCCTTATCGTGATGGCCTGGCGCTCATGTCTTTATTCCAAGTGTCACTAACCCTTGCTAAATCGTTAGGCATGTCTTGGAGACCGGGTAGTTTTGTGAAAATCCTGACTACAGAAATAAAGTGAGTAGCATTTTGGTAGCTTTCCGTAGAATATAGCAGGCACTACAGATTAGGAAAATATTCACCCATTTATAAATCTTCATGTACTGAGCGCCCGATGCGCAAAGCATTTGGTAAGTGCGGTGGGAGATGCCCAATGAGGTGGGACCTTCTGGCGCAGTGAGGGAGACACTGGGGGCATGAGCAACACAAATGCCACTAGGGAGTGTCAAGGGGAGGAAAATGAAGTGAGATTTCAGCAGAGGTAAGTCGGCCTGGGGGCAGGTAGGGTTGGGGAAAGCTTCCAGGAAGAGGTGAGGATACAGAAGTTCCTCTATTTAGGAACATGTTTGGTTTCAAAAGATCATCCATGAGTGCATTTGGTCATAAGTCTCCAAAAGGGGCTGAGCTCTAGACGCATTTCTAGCGTGTTCATTAGGAGTAAGAGTCAATTCTTTGGAGCTTTACAACCAGGAATACTCTCCTGGGGGCTGGTGTGTGTTCTCTGACATCTCTCTCTAGAACGGGCAGGTTTTATCTGCACTGAAAGTCTATTAAGACAGCTCCCTTCCAGGTGATCTCCGTAGGCATCCTAAGGAATGCTTACTGCTACTGTAGCACCTGAGGAAGAGAGTGAAGAAATAAAATGGAGTCACTACAATCAAGCTGCGAAATTACTAAAATAAAGTAATTTATTTTAAATTACAACAGGAATACTAGCCTGGGAACTTAAACTCCTGCACTTTCCAGTCCCCTGTCTTCAAACCTCCAGATAACCTTCTGGTTACCCCCTAAAGGACTAAGGAAAGGTTGTTCATGTATCCAGACCACCTGACTTCCATTATCCGGACAACCGGTCATCTAGAGCAGTGGTTCTCAACCTTGGCTGCACATTAGAATCACCTGGGAATCTTTTTAAAATCCTGATTTCCAGGCCTTTTAAAATCCTGATTTCTGGGCCTCATCCTCCGGAAATTCTGTTTCTTTGTTACTAATGTTGTGGCCCCACCCCGTAACAAAGAAACAGAATTTCCGGAGGATGAGGCCCAGAAATCAGGATTTTAAAAAGATTCCCAGGTGATTCTAATGTGCAGCCAAGGTTGACAACCACTGATCTAGAGGACCCCCATCTTGGACCAGGCCAGAGGCTAACAACGCAGGACTGATTCTTCTCAAGCATGTACGTTTTAATTTATTATAAGAACTCTTAGCTTTTTTCTCTTGTTTGGAATACTCTGGGTTTTGCCTACTTGTGTTTCTGGTTTGTAAACCCTAAGACCCTGGAATAAATCTTTATCATTTATTTCTAGCCAAAGCCTCCAGACTCTTTTTGAGTTCATTCAACACACTCATCAGGTTACCAATTATCTTGAAATAAAGCAGATTTCTGTGTTGCAGAAACCTGAGTCTTCTAAGAGCAAAGGGATAATAAGACCTAAGTCCAAGTATTTTTTAACAGGATGTCTGACAGCGAGGCGAAGGTGTAATGGCCACCATAACGAAAAGGTAACTTCAGACCAAAAGATAAAGCAGGCAACTCCATAGAATATAACAGAATTTATTATAGAGTATTTTGCTTAAAGGAAGATTTGACCCAGCAATTTTGCACAGATTATTATCTGCTAAAGACTCCTGTTACTGTCCAGTTTTTACAGTGTAACTCAGGTACTAGTGATTGATGAGGCAAAGGGACAAAGAATGCAGTAGTGCCAGGGCCATGCCTCCTGGTGGTCATCCTATCTCCAGTTTGATATTTATATCTGTTGTCATGCCATTCCATATGTTACTCACAAAAATATTTATGGCTACATTTTAAGAAACAGATAATCATCAATTATCAACTAGAAAGTTTTGATACAACTTGCCCAGGACAGTGAGGTTGGTCAAAGGTCACAGCCTGAAAGGACACAATCAATTATCAACTAGAAAGTTTTGATACAACTTGCCCAGGACAGTGAGGTTGGTCAAAGGTCACAGCCTGAAAGGACACAACGATGGAAATGGTTTTGTTCTCATCTACACTTATGCACAATAGTATCCAGAAATTTTGGGAATAGATGCAAACGATTAAGTAATTTGTATGCTAATGGCCCACAGATCTTGCAGAACTGCATTCCATGCACAATAACCCCTTGTTTCCTAGTTTCGACCAAAACCAGGAGAGGAGAGGTCACAAGAAATAATTAGTTCAGCTCTGGGTATCTAGGTTTCCAAGACAAACAGTATTAATTCCAAGGAGACATCATTAAGATAGTTGTCTCAAGTTCCTACCCAGCCCCCTCCCAACACACACTTGTACACACACAGACACACTATTCTCCGATGCAATCAACTCGCTCTCAGCTGAACCATGAGCACTCAAATTACTTACATTCTCAATTTACCCAATTAAAAGGATGAATAGGAAAATCACGATAACTTTGAAAAACGAAACCAATAGGAGAAATTTTGTAAGATGATGAATATAAAACTCATTATTAAAAAAAAAACTACTAGGTTCCAGTGATGACTATTTAGGAACTATAAAGGAAAGAGGAATTTTCCTCATAATATCAAGATAAATTATGTTGGAATTAACAATAATTGCTCATAATCTAAATAATGAAAAGTACAAAAATTTAGTGACAGCTTTAAAAAAACTCCATAAATGTACCTGAATGGAAGCATATAGTAAAATAATGTAAAATTTTTCTAACCATATTTGAAATTTTTAAACAATACTAGTTCCAATTCTAACACAATTTTAAAACTATACAAAATATTATAAACTTCATTTGGATAAATAAACATGAGAATAACAAATTCACTTTTTAGATTTTAGGGGTAAATATAAAACCTTTTAAATGGACAAAAAAGATTCTAGGCCTTCAGCCTCAGACTGGGAGGCCCGTCCGGGCTCCCCTGCTTTTTGGGCTTTTGGACTCAGGCAGGGGTCCTCAAACTTTTTAAACAGGGGGCCAGTTCACTGTCCCTCAGACCGTTGGAGGGCCGGACTATAGTTTTTTAAAAAAAAACAAACTAGTCGGCTGCTAAGCAACAGGCAACGGCAAAAACACCCGGCGGGCCAGATAAATGTTTTCCTCGGGCCGCATGTGGCCCGCGGGCTGTAGTTTGAGGACTCCTGCAGTAAGGGAAACCACCAGCCCTCCTGGTCCTGGGCTTATCCATGGCAGATTGTATGCACTGGAGAAGGGCTCTGCTCAGATTGTTAGGAGTGCTTTTGCGATAATCACACCCTTCCCTCTGGTAGGAATTAGATTTTACAGCCTTTACTAATTACAGGATAGTGGCTCCGGTGCCCTCCCAATAGTAAACTGCTTTGAGACAACAGCTGGAAATTAGGGTAGGAAAGTAAATCCAGAAGAGGCTCATCAAACTTTTTCTGCCTATTAAATGAAAATGAAATATCATATTTGTGAAGTTCTATGGAAGGAAACATTGGTTGATTCTTGTATGTGTCCTTACTAGGAATCAAACCCGAAAACCTGGCATATTGGGATGATGCTCTATCAACTGCTCTACCCAGCCAGGGCATGATTTTACTTTTTAAATCATAAGAGTCATGAGGAGAAACTTGCCCTTCCAGATGTTAAAAGGCACTACAAACCTGTTAAATATAAACCATTTTGGAATTGATGCATGAGATGATTGAAGAGTCAATGCAATTTAATCTGATTAAATTTTCAGAGTGTATCTGAACTGATTATATAATAAGCTGCCACAAAACAATATTTTAAAAATGTCAGTATCACTAGTAATAGAGAATGCATGTCAAGTAATAAAACACTCCCCCAAAGGAAGAGCCCAGCACCAAATGCTTTCATTTTCAATAGCTTCAAAAAAAAATATATTTAGGAATAAATTTAACCAAAGAAGTTTAAGATTTGTAAACTGAAAACTACAAAACGTTGAAAGAAATTAAAGAAGAT